TTAGGGCAACAGAGCACGGTCGATTGAGCATCCATTCACTGTGTGAACCATGTTAAAATCCGCGGGTCTAGTGACGGTACAGCAGTCGCAGAAACCTCGGATGTTTGGGAAGAATATCTGGAATGAGGTCTGGTGAGGAAAAGGGTCACTCCAGCGCAACATACTCATGCTCTCCAAGCCATTCCATGTCATTTTTCCTGCCTAGGCTTGGAATGGATTGGAGCGCATGGATATGTAGCAGTGGAGTGACCCTCTTCCTCACCAGACCTCAACCCTGATATTCTTCCCAAACAGTTGAGGCTTCTTCAACTGATGCACTGTCACTAGAACCGCGGATTTTAACATGATTCTAACAATGAAAGGATGCTCAATCGACCGTGCTATGTTACCCTAAGTTTCGTGGCGGGAATGCTAGATTTTGCCACTCTATTCGTGATTTTACCCTAGAACGATACGACGAAAACGACCCATGATAAGCTAGGACCATTTAAGTAATGGCATCTTTGGACACCCCTTGGCTTGGCTTGTCTCAGATATTACATTCAATCCGAATTCGTGCACTATACTTATGCATACGCTCAAATACTTCGCAATTTTCCTTGTGCTCACCCCCTTATGCAAAATGGTGGGTCCAGGAAGAGTGCGAGAAGATTCATGCCAAGGTCTGCACTAACCTCGTAGATAACATGCCTAAGAGGGTGCAGGTGGTGATCAATGCCAAAATTAGGCGGACTAGTTACTAGAAACGCTGTTCGGAAGTTTGCTATTTGTCCTGGGAAAAAACTGTCCGGATGTACTCGTTGTATATCTTTTGGAGTATAAGTTAGATCCAATGTACTACTCTAGTTCTTAGTGATGTGAACGCATCCACTTTGTGCCTCTCCCAACGTGTACCACCGGGCATCTTGCAGGTTTACCATACAGTAGTCTCAAAGCCTAAAAACCCAACTTAGTGCCAAACATCCGGACGGTTTTTTCTCTCAGTGTATCTTCTGTGGTTTTGTGTCCTGATGATCGCAGGTAGAAATCGGCGTTAGTATAAAAAGATGAAAGAATGAAAGGAGAAAGCGCTGGGGACTTGTCAATTTCTTCTTCGACGAAACGGGTACGAGGTAACGTGACATTTGAAGGTGCTGCTGTAGTTGCGAGTTCAACTTTTGACACTGCTTCTGTTGATGTCGTGGCAGATATTTCGGCGACAGCTACTGTTTGACGCGGCTGCTCAGCTACTTCTTCCTGTTCGGCTTCTTCAACAACGTCAGGTTCATCAGCTGCAAGACCACTTATCTCTCCCCAAAGTGGTGCTGGAGTTCCTTGGAAGGCTGTACGGGTATTATAAAACGTTCGCCACGCGGTGGCACTTTCATCGGCGGTATTGAACTCCCAGGTATCCAACGCGGTAAGTACGGCGGCTGTAGTTCGAGAAGCTGTTGGTACAGTTGTTGCTCGAAAATCAATGTCCACGTGTTGGTAATCTGTTTCTTCTAGGTGATCCCAGGGGCCAAGTGCAAGCACTCGTTCAGAATCGCCAGAAGTTCCTTGTGATGCGAACTGAAGAACGGACATGCCATGTTGAGTGGCGGCACGACCAAGATAAGTATTCGTCGAACTGTGCCAGAGCTCCTGATCCATCGTGTCACAATTGCCTTGTGTGCGTATTTTGTGTGCCAGGAGTTGAGCTGTGGAAAGAAGATTGAAGCCAAGACTGGCGATGATAAGAACATTAGTAACATGAAGTGAGTATCCCGTGTCGATAGATTCGAGCATTACACTTCCAACTGCGCGTGCCATAATGGTTTGTCCATTTGCGACTGTTACAGGTATCGGACGACAAAGTGGACGCTGATTGGTGATGAAGCTTGTTTCTGCTGAGCACATGTGCCATCCGCAGCAACTGTCAAGATACGAGGTATTCGGACCTGAAATTATTCGAGCGAGGTTAGCGTAAACTTGAGGTAAAGGAATGCCTTCAGCACTTGTGGTTTCATCAAGTCGTGTCTCGAAATCTGTTTCTGAAATATCAACTGTTGTAACACAACCAAAAACTCCTTTTCCTGATGTGGCAGATGCGAAAACCGGCGGACGATGCTGCGACATTGATGAATTCTGCGACGGTTTTGGCATCTGCTGCTGCTGAGACGTTAACTGCTGCTGTGGCTGTTGTGTCTTCGGTAACTGCTGTGAACGGTGATACGGCTGTGAAGTACTGCGACGAGTTGAATGACGGCTGCGACAGTTTTGGTAAGTATGTCCTGGTTTCTTACAAAAGTGGCAGAATGGATACTTTGGTGGATGTCGATGCTGTTGTTCTGGATTGGAGTAAAAACTTAAATGAAGTCCCTTTTTCTGATTTTGTTGTGATTGCAGGTCAAGATCTTGTTGCTCTGCTTGAAGATAAGAAGAAATTTTGGCTTCGGAGAGATTAGGATTCATGCGCAGGAAGGCGCGCGTCTGTCGCCATTCGGGTCCAAGACCAACCAGAAGTACCGTGAGATACATCTCACAAGGGAAGTATCCTCCGCTCTTTTCCAGTTGATCTCGTAGTGTACGGACACAGTTAACGTAGTCCATGACGTTTTCGTTTGTCATCATCTGCACACTTGTCAGCTGTGAAAGTATTTTACTCACTGTTATCGTATCCTTTGCCATGTATACCCCTTTCAGATGATTCCATGCAGTTTCGGCTGGTGTGAAACTTGAATGAAATGATCGAACGCCGAGCTGCTCCTTCGGCGACAAGTTCCGTACAAGAACTGTATACGCCCCGAGAGAGGCGTGTAAAAAACTTTGCTGCTCCAGTTGTGTTCCCACGACAGGGTACGTAAATTCGCTAGTGAAGAACGACCATAGCCCAGCGGACTGCGCCAGAAGTTCAAACTCAAAGCCCCAGGAGTAGAAATCAACACCATTAAAAGGTACGGTTGTCTTGATCTGAGTATTGTTAAGTAAATTTGGAGGCTGAAAAACAATGCATGGCTGTTGCTGTTGTTGTTGCTGCTGAGGTTGCTGATACTGCTGTTGTTGTTGCTGTACTTGCTGTGGTTGCTGAGCAGGGGAACGACCGAAGATATAGAAAGGATGCTGAAACTGGTGCGACTGCGGCTGCTGTACGAAAGGTGAGAAAGCGAACGAACCAGTACTTGGAGCTGTAGCTCCACGCATGTAACTTGAGCCGTCAAGGCTCATTCCACTGAACGCAGATGAAATCGATTGCGTTGAAACTGGTGGCTGTACTGATGCTTGTTGCTGTGCTGTTGTCTGTGATTGTTGTTGTTGCGCTGCAGGTGCAGTCGATGGAGCACCTGGATTATTCACAGAAGGCGGATTCTGCTGTTGCATACCGATATTAGCATAGGCTGGTGGAAAGTGCCCAGAGGCTGAGAGACCAGCGGCGGTAGTGGAGGCATGTGCTCCAGTAGTCACAGTAACTGATCCTGCAGATGGTGCTGGTGATGAACCAGTCATAGTTGACGGTAGTCTTAATTCCAGATAGCTCTCATACCATGAAATAAATCGTCTGATGTTGTAAAAGACTAAGTAAAAAACCGTAAACACGAACACTTGGCAAATTCTCAAGTGTTGGTCCAGGATCTTTGCTGGAATGGTAGACTAGTAAGACAGCGGAAGTCTTGTAAAATGTGATAGTCAAGGTTGAATAACCTGAGTACGTGAACTTGTGTGTAATCAAAGTTAATAATGAAAAGACCTAACAAGTATTTATAGTTCTACGAAAAGTACCTATTCGCTAATCTACCTGTTCGTCACTATTGGGCTATACACCCTAGACGACAATGAAGAGGTGCGATTGTTCATGTGACTGAAACGACTGTCCTATGACGAGCGCTACTTGCTGACGTCATCTTACGGACTTATCTTCTACAGTATGATTCGACACGAACTACACTTAATCGACTTACAGAAATGCTAAGTTTCAATTATATCACCAACAGCTGACTCGTGATAATCGCCCAACGGTCAAGATATCTCTCGAACAATTTCAGCCGTCGGACCTGGCTCGCCCAAGATTCGTTAGGACGGTGTAATCATTACTCTCGTCAGAAGATTTCAAGACCTAGAGTCACACTCGCGATTGGATTATTAATCCATCAGGGTATCGTCTCTAGTGTACGGAGGGCTTCTTTAGAAGGTGGGAGAGTGGAAGGAATTACAATTCCTTACTGCGCTAAATTATAGCGCGTACACCCGAAGACGTCGACCTCGTAGGTTCGGCCTATATCTTCGGCCCAAACCTTCCCGAGTCGCGTCCCGATACCCTCGCCACCCTTCCAAGCCACCTCACGTCCCGAGGTTCTCGCCCTAGCACGTACGAGCCCTATTTTAGCCAGTTCGCTCCACTTGCTGATCAATAATTATTCCTAGGTTGTATTTCCATTACTCAGTCGATTGTTCCATTCCCACTCATAACAGTGAAGCTATTGGTCCGTGTGCCATACGGGAAGTCCAAACGTGCACAAGGTGGGAGCATGCAATGGTGGATTGGCTGAAGACCCCTGCGATTGAACTCCCAGGCGAAAGGCATGGAATCCAAACCAGAGCTCTCCAACAACAGAAGTGCCTATCGCTCTCTCGCCACACGTCCCGTAGATTGCTACCGCGTCATAATCGGAGCCGTCAAAACTCCCCATGTCAGGAAGTTCAGGAAGTTCGATGGCACATGTTCAGGGATGACCCGAAGTGTGGTTGACTTATCGCGAGGCTCGGCCGCAGGCTCGGGGCGACAGGGAGGTTTGGGAGTGAGGAAGGGAGTGAGGTGTGCGAGGGCGGCAGGCTGGAAACCAAGCGACACTTGCTTCCTCAGCCCGTTTCGCTTTCCCTTTTCGGTGCAGCTCGGTTCTCGCAGTTTCATCGCAGTTTTGTGTGCAATACCGTGGACTCGGGTGCGGTAGCTGTTTCAAAGTTGCAACTTCAGAATCCTTCGTCTGCGCTCTTCTGATGGGGTCATATCGGGCTCGCTGTCGCTTGCCGTCCTCCAAATCCCCACAGCAAGGCGAGTTCCTTCCTCGTCATGGCTGGGACTCAGTTTCCCCGCCTGAGCTACTGCGCTTGCTTCCAGTGAGACACTGCTACTGCCTCCGGCGGATATGGGGGGGAATGCGCGGCAGTGATAAGCAAATAACGCCACGACCTTCCCTCTCGGTCGTCGAGCCACGCTTCCCTTGTCCGAAGCTTTCGTCCAGGGTTAGTCTGAGTCACCGCTGACCAGGGTTAGGCGTACACGGTCACAGCAACCCCGCAGTCTACAACCTAAGTAGTGTCTGAGCAGCTGCCGGCCGTTTCTCGTCCGAATCTGGGGTCAATTTCTGAGCCACCTTCTGAAAATTCTCCCAGCTCTCGACCCTCTTCCGGCGGAAGAGAGCAACGCTGCGTTCCGCCCAGAAACGCCGCGTGTTCAGTGCTCCAAGCGGCGTGCTCTAAGCGACTGAACGCTGCGTTCTTTCAGCGACGTGCTCTCAGCGACGTGCTCTCAGCGACGTGCTCTCAGCGGCGTGCTCTCAGCGGCGTGCTCTCAGCGACGTGCTCTCAGCGACGTGCTCTCAGCGGCGTGCTCTCAGCGACGTGCTCTCAGCGACGTGCTCACTGAGCAGTTCCGAACAGTTCCCCTCGGAAAAGCTTGGTTGCAAAACCGAACCTTCTCGGACTCCGGTGGTATCCCCGAACCTTCTCTTAGTCGTCGACTCCAGCTCTCGGGTTCGCCGCGCCAGAATGGTGACGCGGAAGGGCCGCCGCGGCCCATCGTCGTCCGCTTTAGTAGCCATCGCGCTGCTCGTTATCGCGCTGCTCGTGACGAGACTCGCCTTCGCAGCCCCGGATCCCGCCCATGGTGAGCCCGCCATGGTGAGCCCGCCATGGTGAGAATGGGTTGCTGGAATTCTACAAGAACCACTTGCTTCCGCAGCCACTGGTCCCGCTCAAGGTGAGCCCCCTGCAGGGCCATCTTCCCGTCCGACGGCTGATCCTCTGCTCTCGTACGCCACAATCCCTAGGCTCATCTCGGTGATCCATAGGCTCCGCCGAGGGATCCTTAGGCTCCTCTCGGCATTCCTTAGGCTCCTCTCGGCATTCCCTAGGCTCCTCTCGGCATTCCCTAGGCTCCTCTCGGCATTCCCTAGGCTCCTCTCGCCATTTCCTAGGCTCCTCTCGCCATTCCCTAAGCTCCTCTCGCCATTCCCTGGGCTCTTCTCGCCATTCCCTAGGCTCCTGTCGGCATTCCCTAGGCTCCTCTCGCCATTCCCTATGCTCCCTCGGCAATCCCTATGCTCCCTTTGGCAATCCCTATGACTATTGCTTTGCTCCCTTCGGCGTCCCTTTGCTCCGTTCGGCAATCCCTATGCGCCCTTCGGCAATCCCTTTGCTCCTCTCGGCATCTTCCATGTCTCCATCTTTCTCTCAGCCCCCAACGCCATTCAGCTGCGATTCAGTGTGAAAGATCGCCGCGATTGCTGCAGCAGCCATACGCACGCCGATGACGCGCTTGTTAAGTTAGGTGCCTCGAAACGGCACCTTTCGTCTTGCATTTGCTGCACTCCCAGTGTTTCCCCCTGACACCGTTCCAATCCCCGAGCTATCCCCTTCACCTGTAGTGTCCATTCTATGGCGGATCGCAGGCATGGGGATTGGTAACAGCGTGCCGTCAACTCATGATGGGCAGGCGGCGACCCCTGCTGCGCTGCTGTGCGGTGGACTGACAAGCACCATGCCAACCCTACAGCCTTCACTGCTGTGCTCCCCGTCCCTCCCTGCAGTGGCCATTCTATGGCAAGTGGCATGGCAGGCTTGGGGAAAGCCAACGACCGCTGTGCCATTCAACCCCTGTGCGCCCCCCACACCTCGCAGTGGCCATTCTGCGCCAGATTGCCGGCATGGGGAATGCCAACGACGCGCCTTTCAACTCGTGGACGGGCGACGACCCCTGTGGTGCTGCGTGGGCGGGCGTCAAGTGCTCGCCTGGTGCTGGTGGTGGTTACGACCTGGTTACCGAGCTGTGAGTGCGGCTGTGAGTGCGGCTGTGAGTGCGGCTGTGAGTGCGGCTGTGAGTGCGGCTGTGAGTGCGGCTGTGAGTGCGGCAGTGAGTGCGGCTGTGAGTGCAGCTGTGAGTGCAGCTGTGAGTGCAGCTGTGAGTGCAGCTGTGAGTGCAGCTGTGAGTGCGGCTGTGAGTGCGGCTGTGAGTGCGGCTGTGAGTGCAGCTGTGAGTGCAGCTGTGAGTGCGGCTGTGAGTGCGGCTGTGAGTGCGGCAGTGAGTGCGGCTGTGAGTGCAGCTGTGAGTGCAGCTGTGAGTGCGGCTGTGAGTGCAGCTGTGAGTGCGGCTGTGAGTGCGGCTGTGAGTGCAGCTGTGAGTGCAGCTGTGAGTGCGGCTGTGAGTGCAGCTGTGAGTGCAGCTGTGAGTGCAGCTGTGAGTGCAGCTGTGAGTGCAGCTGTGAGTGCAGCTGTGAGTGCGGCTGTGAGTGCAGCTGTGAGTGCAGCTGTGAGTGCAGCTGTGAGTGCAGCTGTGAGTGCAGCTGTGAGTGCGGCTGTGAGTGCAGCTGTGAGTGCAGCTTTCACATCACATTACTCGATTTTATGTTTGATGGTGGACATGCAACGACAACCCCTGAGTTTTTGCATGGACAGGAGGGACGTACTTCCTTGCCACCACCAGCACTTACGATTTGGCTACCCAACTGATAGCACCAGTTACTCGCCAAATGTCACCCTTCCGGCTTCAAGCTTTGACTGACCTCACGCCCCTTTCATTTATCCCTCGACCTCCTCCCACCCCACACCTCCATCCTTCCATCGCGTCTATCCCCTCTCTGTTGCCCCCCCCCCTGCTTTGCCATTGATCCTCCTCTCTCCTCCCCTGTTTACCAGCTTTCTCGAGGATGTCAGGCTGACCGGCACTTTGCCGCCTTCCCTCTTCGACCTCACGTCCCTGCGCATGCTGTAAGCGCCGTCATCTGCTCACCCCTCCCAAACTCTCCCGTTCCTATTTCGACTTCTTTCTTCCTGTTCTTTTCTCTCATTTTCCCTTCCCAAGCAAATTCCTTCTGTTCGATCTGCACCCCCACTGTCTCCATTGCGCCTCTCTCCTTCTCTTCTCTTAACTCCCCCCCTCCTCACCCTCACCCCCCCCCCCCCTTCGCCCCCACCCCCCCCCCTCGCCCCCACCCCCCCCCCCCTCGCCCCCACCCCCACTCCCACCCCCACAACCCAGCAATCTTGGCAAGAATCCGGACCTTCAAGGCACCATTCCAGCAAGCATTGGGAACCTGGCTCAGTTGACCCTCCTGTAAGCGCTGTTGGTTATGTGTAAGCTCCCCAAACCATCGTCTTGCCACGTGTCTGCCCCTTGTGTGCCCTCCCCCCCTTCTCCTTCTCCCCCCCTGCAAGCAACAGTAGTAGGGCTGCAGCCTGTCTGGCCCACCCAGTCCCTGCCTCCATGGGCAATCTGAAGCAGCTGGCTTACTTCCCCATGGCGCACTTCCCCATGGCTCAAAACAAGCTCTCAGGCGAACTGCCACCTGAGAGCGTGTGCTTCGCGTGTGTTTCGCGTGTGTTTTGCGTGTGTTTCGCATGTGTTTCGCGTGTGTTTCGCGTGTGTTTCGCGTGTGTTTCGCGTGTGTTTCGCGTGTGTTTCGCGTGTGTTTCGCGTGTGTTTCGCGTGTGTTTCGCGTGTGTTTCGCGTGTGTTTCGCATGTGTTTCGCGTGTGTTTCGCGTGTGTTTCGCGTGTGTTTCGCGTGTGTTTCGCGTGTGTTTCGCGTGTGTTTCCCGTGTGTTTCGCGTGTGTTTCGCGTGTGTTTCGCGTAAGTTTCGCGTGTGTTTCGCGTGTGTTTCGCATGTGTTTCGCGTGTGTTTCGCGTGTGTTTCGCGTGTGTTTCGCGTGTGTTTCGCATGTGTTTCGCGTGTGTTTCGCATGTGTTTCGCGTGTGTTTCGCGTGTGTTTCGCATGTGTTTCGCGTGTGTTTAGCGTGTGTTTCGCGTGTGTTTCGCGTGTGTTTCGCGTGTGTTTCGCGTGTGTTTCGCGTGTGTTTCGCGTGTGTTTCGCATGTGTTTCGTGTGTGTTTTCGCGTGTGTTTCGCGTGTGTTTCGCGTGTGTTTTTGGCATGTGTTTCGCATGTGTTTCGCATGTGTTTCGCGTGTGTTTCGCATGTGTTTCGCATGTGTTTCGCGTGTGTTTAGCGTGTGTTTCGCGTGTGTTTCGCGTGTGTTTAGCGTGTGTTTCGCGTGTGTTTCGCGTGTGTTTCGCATGTGTTTCGCATGTGTTTCGCGTGTATTTCGCATGTGTTTCGCGTGTGTTTCGCTTGTGTTTCGCATGTGTTTCGCGTGTGTTTTCGCGTGTGTTTCGCGTGTGTTTCGCATGTGTTTCGCATGTGTTTCGCATGTGTTTCGCATGTGTTTCGCGTGTGTTTCGCGTGTGTCCCCTTCTACTTCCCTTCTTTTGAGTCGACTCAAAAGCTGTCCCCTTCTACTTCCCTTCCACCCCCGCTTGTTTGCCAGCAACCTGCTGGGTTGCAACCTGCTGGGTTGCAACCTGCTGGGTTGCAACCTGCTGGGTTGCAACCTGCTGGGTTGCAACCTCTTTGGCCCAGTCCCCCCAACAATCGGCAACCTCAAGCAGCTGCTGTACTTCCGCGTGGCGGGGACTACCCCTCAGCACGCCTCCCTCAGCCACTTGCTACCCACAGTGCCCTCTCTCCCTCCCCCGCCTTCCCCCCTTCCTTCCAGCAACCTGCAGGGCTGCAGCCTCTCTGGACCAGTCCCTTCAATTCAACCATCGGCGACCTGAAGCAGCTGGTCTACTTCCTCGTGGCGCAGAACAAGCTCTCAGGCCAACTGCCAGCCTTGTGTGTCCCCTGTGCCTTGTGCCTCTCTTCTCTCCCCAGCAACCTGCAGGGCTGCAGCCTCTCTGGACCAGTCCCTTCAACCATCGGCAACCTGAAGCAGCTGATCTACTTCCTCGTGGCGCAGAACAAGCTCTCAGGCGAATTGCCAGCGGAGTTCGGGCTGCTGCCGTACCTCTTCCAGATCGACATCATCGACAACCAATTTGAAGGCACCCTGCCCACGTTCGCTGGGGCATCCAACCTGGTGCACCTGTGAGTATGAGTCAGGTCAGGTGAGTGAGGCCCTGTGTGCATGTGTGTGAGTATCAGTCAGGTCAGGGGTGATGTGGTGTGTGCATGTGTGTGAGTATGTGAGTTCGGGCTGCTGCCGTACCTCTTCCAGATCGACATCATCGACAACCAATTTGAAGACACCCTGCCCACGTTCGCTGGGGCATCCAACCTGGTGCACCTGTGAGTATGAGTCAGGTCAGGTGAGTGAGGCCCTGTGTGCATGTGTGTGAGTATCAGTCAGGTCAGGGGTGATGTGGTGTGTGCATGTGTGTGAGTATGTGAGTGCGGGCTGCTGCCGTACCTCTTCCAGATCGACATCATAGACAACCAATTCAACGGGACCCTGCCCACCTTTGCTGGGGCATCCAACCTCGTGCACCTGTGAGAGCCTGTTGTTTGTGTGTGTGAGTCTGCGTGGGGCTCGTGCCGTACCTCCACGTAGACATCAGTGACAAGAACCGCGTCGAAGACACCCTGCCCACGCTCGCTGGAGTCCCCAACCTCGTGCACCTGTGAGTATAAGCCAGGTGATATGTGCATGCGTGAGTATACAAGTGATTCATGCCCAACTTCACGCAAGCCCGGGCACCTGTGAGTATCAGTCAGGTGACTTTCGGAGGCAATTACGTTCCTATCTCTTAAGTACACCCTCGATTCTTATCCCCCTCCTCTCCCCCCCAACTTCCTCCCCCACCCAGCCACATGAGCCGCAACCTCCTCTCCTCCATTCCCTCTGATATTGCCAAGCTGCCGAGCCTGCAGCACTTGTGAGTGGTTGCTGGTGGTAGTACGGATGGTTGCTGCCGAGCCTGCAGCACTTGACTGCACCATTGTTTTGTCCCCCCACCACTGCATAGTTCCCCCACCACTGCATGGTTCCCCCACCACTGCATGGTTCCCCCACCACTGCATGGTTCCCCCACCTCTGCATGGTTCCCCTACCACTGCATGGTTCCCCCACCACTGCATGGTTCCCCCACCACTGCATGGTTCCCCCACCACTGCATGGTTCCCCCACCACTGCATGGTTCCCCCACCTCTGCATGGTTCCCCCACCACTGCATGGTTCCCCCACCACTGCATGGTTCCCCCACCACTGCATGGTTCCCCCACCTCTGCATGGTTCCCCCACCGCTGCATGGTTCCCCCACCACTGCATGGTTCCCCCGCCACTGCATGGTTCCCCCGCCACTGCATGGTTCCCCCACCACTGCATGGTTCCCCCACCACTGCATGGTTCCCCCACCACTGCATGGTTCCCCCACCTCTGCATGGTTCCCCCACCGCTGCATGGTTCCCCCACCACTGCATGGTTCCCCCACCACTGCATGGTTCCCCCACCACTGCATGGTTCCCCCCACCACTGCATGGTTCCCCCACCACTGCATGGTTCCCCCACCTCTGCATGGTTCCCCTACCACTGCATGGTTCCCCACCACTGCATGGTTCCCCCACCACTGCATGGTTCCCCCACCACTGCATGGTTCCCCCACCACTGCATGGTTCCCCCACCACTGCATGGTTCCCCCACCTCTGAATGGTTCCCCCACCACTGCATGGTTCCCCCACCACTGTATGGTTCCCCCACCACTGCATGGTTCCCCCACCTCTGCATGGTTCCCCCACCGCTGCATGGTTCCCCCACCACTGCATGGTTCCCCCACCTCTGCATGGTTCCCCCACCACTGCATGGTTCCCCCACCACTGCATGGTTCCCCCACCACTGCATGGTTCCCCCACCTCTGCATGGTTCCCCCACCGCTGCATGGTTCCCCCACCATCCCCCACCTCTGCATGGTTCCCCCACCACTGCATGGTTCCCCCACCGCTGCATGGTTCCCCCACCACTGCATGGTTCCCCCACCGCTGCATGGTTCCCCCACCACTGCATGGTTCCCCCACCGCTGCATGGTTCCCCCACCACTGCATGGTTCCCCCACCCCTGCATGGTCCCTACGGTTGCACGTTCTCCTTCCTGTGCGATCTCGTTCCATCTGGACTACCACCAGATGTGGATTGTGCCTTTCCTTTCGTCTGCCTCGAAACCGCCCCTTTCCATGTGACCCAACCATGCCAAATACTTCCAGAATCGTGGATGGCAACCGGATCGTTCAGCCCTTCCCCATGTCCCTCAACAGCACGAGCCTCAGTGTTATGTGAGCAGTGCAGGGAGTGTTCTTTAAGAGAGTGTTATGTAGTGTCTGTAATAGGTGCTATTTATGTAAGAAGTGTTATGTGAAGAGTGTTATGTCAAAGTTATTGCATAAGGATGCATCGTTCTGTTCTGTGTAAGTGTTATGTAATAAGGGTGTTATGTAAGCAGTAAATCCCTATCTGCGGTTCATCCCACCTGCTACAGTAATACTTTCCAGTTGCATCCTTTCTGCCCCGTCACCAATCTTGGTGATTTTTGAGTCCACTCAAAAATCTCCTTTCTGCCCCCTGTCACCAATCTTGGTGATTTTTGAGTCAACTAAAAAATCTCCTTTCTGCCCCCTTTCACCAATCTTGGTGATTTTTTAGTCGACTCAAAAATCTCCTTTCTGCCCCCTTTCACCAATCTTGTGCCATTCTTCCCCTGACGCCTCCGTCCCTACCCAACAACCCCACAACCCCCCCCCCCCCCCCAACACCCTCCCCAGACACACACCCCGCCCCTCACCCTCCCCACCTTGTTCCGTTTGCCTGTGGCAGTTATTGGAGTGGCAATAACATCACCGAGCCTCTTCCTCCAGTCTGGCACCTTCCGATGCTGAAGGACTTGTGAGAAAGCCACATGGGCCACATGGGACATATGGGGCACATGGGGCACATGGGGCACATGGGGCACATGGGGCACACGGGACACATGTGTTCACGTTGCTCATGCTGCTAGTGTAGTTCATGGTGTATGTATAGGTTATGATGTTTAGTTAAAGCCTCAATTAGACTCAGCCTGCAGTGGAAATTCAGTGCGCGCATTTATTGTATTTGTGTCCTTCCTTCCACTGGCGCCCACTTGTAGTAGCTGTCATTTGCTTGCACACTTGCTTGCACACTTGCTTGCACACTTGCTTGCTGGTGCATGTGTGCCGAAAAGGCCATCCTTTCACACACACGCATTTTCCCCCTTAGCCATCCTCTCCCCCCCCTTCTCTCCTCTCCCTCTCACCCTCTCTGCAGCCTGGCCAGCAATTGCAACATCCCACCGCAGACGCTGCCCTCCTTCGCTCTCTCCCAGTGTCCACTCTGCAGCGTCCCAACTCTCTTTCCTCCCTCTCTCCCCCCCTTGCAGCCTGGCCAGCAACTGCAGCATTCCAGCGCAGACGCTGCCTTCCTTCCCGAAGTCCAGGGTACTCGCCAACTTGTGAGTTGTCCTTACCATCTCAACTGTTCGTAAGCAAGCTTGAAAATCTCAGCTTGTCATGCGTGCAAATGAATATCTCAGCTTGTCATGCGTGCAAATGAAAATCTCAGCTCATCATGCGTGCAAATGTAAGTTAGCTCAAGGCATCCCGAATCATGTCGCATGCTTCTCAGGCCAAAGTTTGGCTCGGATAAATGATAAGTCCTCGCCATGCATGCCTTGCCTTGCCACTTTATTGACAAACTCCCCCCTCCGTTTTCTTCGCTCACCCCCCGCTCCTCCCCTATCTCCCCGCCACTTCCTCCCCCTGCCAATCCCTCCCTTCAGAGACTTGAGCTCGAACTCATTCTGGGGCCCGGTTCCAGGGTCTCTCGTCACAGACAATCCCAGCCTCATCAACCTGTGAGTTCACCCTCCAACCCTCCACCCTTCAACCCTCCACCCCCCAAGCCTTCACCCTCCACCCTTCATCCTCCACCCTTCCACCCTTAACTCTTCCAAACTTCCACACTCCCAGCAGTAGCGTGGCCAACAATGTGCCGAACAATTCCATCCCATCCTTTACAGCTTTCAGGTCCCCTGCTGACGTTTTGATGCTTGCTGGGTTCTACTCATTATCATCTCTCTTCGCCCTCCCCCTTCTGCAGCAACCTTGCCAACAATGCTCTGAGCAACGTCGTCCCACCTGACATCACCCTCGCAACCAACCTGCAATCGCTGTAAGCCCATGTTTCCATTTCTCCTACTGGATTATGTAGTCACAATAAACCAATTTAAGGCTCGTTTAACAAACTTCAAATATGTTCTCGAATCCCTGGATGAAAAATATAGTGTTTTCTACTGAATTCATGTCAGCGTCCCTTCTGAATGCAGATATATACAGTGTTCCCTTAAACAGTCCGTGTGAGTCCCTTCCCCTCCCCTCCCCTCCCCTCCCATCCCCTCCCCTCCCTTTCTGAGCAGTTTCCTCTCAGGCAATCGGCTCACTGGCACCCTGCCGGATCTCTCAGGCCTCAGCAGGGCTGTCTCGCTCTCCTTCTACGACAACCTCCTCTCCTCCGCGCCCCTCTCCCTGCTCAACCGCACCGACCTCACTCTGCAGTGAGTATAGTTAATCCTTCGCTGACGTCACTCTGCAGTATGTACACTCCTTTGCTGACATCACACTGGGGCAGGGAGTAATTATCTCTCCTTCTACAACAACCTCCTCTCCCTGCCCAACCGCACCGACCTCACTCTGCAGTGAGTAGACCTTCATGCTGATGTCACTCTGCAGTGAGTAGACCTTCATTCTGACGTCACCCTGCAGTGAGTAGACCTTTATGCTGATGTCACTCTGCAGTGAGCGGTCCAGCTGATGTGATGCAAGTCGTTTTACCCTGTCGTCCCCACCCATCCTCTCCCCTTGGCCAATTTGCTCCCTTGTCTGACCCCAGGCTGTACGGCAACCCCTTGTGCTCGCCCTACCGCCCTGAGAAGCAGGCAGCATGCTCCCCCTGGTGGACCTTACCCAGAACAGTACGCTGTGCCCCCTGTCCCCCCCATCCCCTCCCTCCCCACTGCCCCCCTCCCATGCCCAGGCTGTACGGCAACCCCTTGTGCTCGCCGTACCGCCCCGAGAAGCAGGCAGCGTGCTCCCCGCCAGCGGACCTCACGCAGTACACGGCGCCCACCTTCTGCCAGGGCTTCACGTGCCAGGGCGACCTCTACAGCCCCAGCAAGCCGCTCTTCGACCTCTCCAGCTCCTGCGTCTGCGTGTCCCCCTTAAAGGCTGATGTGTCCCTGTACCTGTCGTCATACGTGGTGTTCAACCAAGGTCTGGTGGATAAGCTGGAGCAGCTGGTGTTTGAGGAGCTCATAGGCGTCAAGTTTGGGCTCAACATCACCAGGTCGCAGGTCTGTTGCCTGACTGGATGTCACCCTTGCCTTTCGTTGGGCATGTGTGTAGGTAAGGGTGGGGGGGGGGAGGGTAGGTGAGTGGGGTGGAAAGTGGGGGAAGAGAGGGGAAAGGCTGGTAACGTCACCCACAAGTGCGGTGGACTTGTGTGTGGCGTGATTGAAAGGGAAGGTGGCGCCGAGGGAGGGGAGAGAGAGAAACCCCTTTTTTTATCTCCCCTCCCTCGGCGCCACCTTCCCTTTCAATCACGGCGCACATCACCTTCCCTTTCATCACCTTCACTTTCGTCCCGCATCACTCCCCTCCCTACTCTCCCTTCCCTCTCTCTTCAACCAAGACCCCTCCCACTCGCCTCACCCCTCTCTGCTGCGAGTTGACTCAATCAAGAGCCCCTCGTTTCTCCCCTCCCTCGCCTCCACCTTCGCTTCGGACCACACCACCCACGAGTCCACTACCACCGTCTCCACCCTCTCTGCTGCTGCCTCCTTTTGAGTTGGCTCAAATGCCTTTCCCTCCTCTTGCTTCCAGCCCTCCCAACGCCCTTCCCCCTTCCCCCTTCCCCCTTCCCCCTTCCCCCTTCCCCCTTCCCTCACCCTTCTCTGCTGCGAGTTGCCTCAATTAAGAGCCCTTCGTCCCTCCTTTCCCTCGCCTCCACCTTTGCCCCAGTCCACGCCACCCACGAGCCCACCACCACCATCTCAATCCTCTTCTTCCTCCACTGTCCTCCCCATCCTCTCCCTCCATCCTTCCCTCTCCCCTCCGTCCCCCACCCACGAGTCCACCACCGCCATTTCTACCCACTTTTTCCCACATTAACCCCTCGATCCCTGTCCCCTTTCCCCCCCATCCCTACAGGTGCGAGTTGCCTCAATCAAGAGCCCTTCGTCCCTCCCCTCCCTCGCCTCCACCTTTGCCTCGGACCACACCACCCACGAGTCCACCACCACCATCTCAATCCTCTTCTTCCCACCGGTCGGCGACGACAGCTGGTACCCACGCGACCTCCCCCGGGGCATCAAGCAGTCGCTCTCTAACGTCGATCGGACGCTCCAGATGAACCTCAGCGAGTTTGGATCGATCCTGTCCACACGATTTTACGGCCCTGCTCGTGAGTTGGTGCGGGGCTGTGTGTGGTAGAATTGTGGGTTGTTGTAGCGAGTGCTTGAGGCCCGCTCTCCCAACACTGCATCGACCCCTTGTTGCTGATGACGCTCAGCGAGTTTGGGCCGTTTTCTCCACTCTGTTCGACGGCCGATGCACAACTTGGTGGGGGTTTTGGGGGGGTGGGAAGGAAGGGTGGGGGGGAGAGGGGGTTTGCTTGAGTAATGCATTTGGTGTTTGGAGAATGGCTGAGGAGGAGCTTGTGGAATGAAAAAGAGCATAGAGTGTGCAACTAATTCTGCTGGCTGATGAAGATAGAAAAAGCGTTAGCATTGACTGATTAGCCTGTAAGCTCGAGATCTGGGGTTGTATTAGTGGTAGTAGAGTATGTTGTACGTTAGGTCGATTTAAGGTTGTTGAAGAAAGCCTTGGAGGGCATGTCGCATGATCGGCTAAACTTTTCCCATCGGGTTGCTGAAAATATTGGCCAAGCTGGCGTGCGATGCAGGACAGGCCAGACCGGCAGGTGATAGAGGCGAAGGTGAGGGAAACGAAGGCAACATTTCTTTGTTCCCTTGGTGCAGCCTTCCATGTGTTTCTGTTGCCTTCCATGTGTTTCTGTTGCCTTCCATGTGTTTCTGTTGCCTTCCATGTGTTTCTGTTGCCTTCCATGTGTTTCTGTTGCCTTCCATGAGGGGAACACACTTCTTCCTCTTCTTCCAATGTGGTCCGCCCATCTCCTGAATCCACCAGCGAGCAACCCCCCTCCCAAGACCTCCATCCACCGGTCTGAGCTCGGGCGCCATCGTGGCCATGTCAGTGTCATTGGCTGCATCTCATCACTCTCTCCTGTCTTCCATCCCCTTTTTTCTAAACAACCACCACCCACCAGCTTACAACCCCCCTCCCAAGACCTCTAGCGGTCTGAGCACGGGCGCCATAGTGGCCATCTCAGTGTCGTCCGCTGCTGTCCTCATCGCCCTCATTGTGGCGCTGCTCATGCGACCCTGGGAGAAGAGAGGTGAGAAGGGAGACGAGAGGTGAGAAGGAAGAAGAGAGGTGAGAAGGGAGAAGAGAGGTGAGAAGGGAGAAGAGAGGGGAGAAGGGAGACGAGAGGTGAGAAGGGAGGAGAGAGGTGAGAAGGGAGGAGAGAGGTACAACAGGTCAAACAAAAACCCCTACCGCAGCAGCCCCTTTCTGGGCTAGAGCACAGGTGCCATTGTAGGTATCTCAATGTCATCTGCTCCTGATTTCATCGGTCGCATTGCCACTCTGCTCATGCGACCCTGGGAAAAAGAAAGGTGAGAGTGGGTGCCTTGGTCGGGGTGGTGCGATAAGAGATCTGAGCGAAATTCGGGAGTTGAGTGAAATTCGGGAGTTGAGCCGGGACTCGTGCGAAACACTGTACGAAGTAAGAAGTAAACGGACATGGAAGGTGCCCTTCTGGCCCTATGTTTTTTTGTCTTACCCAGGCTAGCGTGGAGAGGAGCATGGATACGTGATTCCCCATGTCATCTACTCAAATCAGTATCTCTTCTTCCTCGCCCCAAAACCCTGCCTCAGTGCCTCTCCTTTACCCCTACCATCCAAGCTGCAGCTGTGCAGACGTCCTGACCTGACCTCGCATTTGCATCTCGTCGACCTTTGGCATGCTGGTTCATATGTCTCCCTTCCGCCCACCTGTTCATTCTCCTCAAGGTGGAGCAATCCAGACTACGATGCTCTGGCCCACACCCAACAGCAGCACGCCCGTTTGCCTCCCCCGCTCCGCCCTCTATCACGTTTCATCCACGCTTCGTCCTGCCCCTTTCGCCCCATCTCCCCCCCAGGGTGGAGCCACGCGGACTACGAGGCGCTGGAGGGCATCAACCTGCAGCACGCTCGCCGCTACTCGCTCTGGCAGCTGGCAGAGGCCACACAGGGCTTCGACGACACGGCGGTGCTTGGAGAGGGAGGATACGGCAAGGTATAGTTCACTTGTGAGGCTATTCAAAACGCAAGGTGCTGTTAACTTACCGCAAGGTGCTCGGTGGCTACTCCCACTTGCAGCTGGCTGAGGCCACATACGACTTTGGAAGAGGGAGGACTCGGAAGGTACAGCTAGGGGAGGGAGGATACGGCTAGGTAAAGCTGGGAGAAGGAGGATACAGCTAGGTAAAGCTGGGAGAAGGAGGATACAGCTAGGTAAAGCTGGGAGAAGGAGGATACAGCTAGGTAAAGCTGGGAGAAGGAGGATACAGCTAGGTAAAGCTGGGAGAAGGAGGATACAGCTAGGTAAAGCTGGGAGAAGGAGGATACGGCTAGGGCTGAACATGGGATGGGACTACGTTGGACCGGCCTGGCCCGAGTCGACTACCCGGGGCCGACCCGAGGCCCATGCACTGCGTCGTCGTCGTCGATGACTACGAGTCGACACGGGCTGGCGGACTGAAAAGCCTATTGACGGCTGGCGGGCCAAAAAGGGAGCCATGCGTTCGAAATTTGACAAGTTTTGGGACGCATTGCAGCGTTTGAGGAGATGGGAGCCCGGGTGAAAGCTCCAAAAGGGATGTGGGGGAGTTGCGAGAAAGGAAGGTGGAGGTTGTGGCTGACTCTCCAGGTCTGGAGGGTTTTGAAGTTACATTCAAGTATTTGGTCTGAACCTCTCCACTTTCCCATCTCCCAGTTCTCCAACCTCCCTTTCACACTCCTTCAGTCTGGCACCTATGTCCTCAAACAACGCACTGTGTCAACAACTTCACAACTTTTGCACAAATGGAATCCATAGCTTGACTGGGCACCCAAGCATGGGCAGACAGGTCCTTCAGTGGCTGCTCCATGTGCGCAAGTGGCTCAGCCACATCCAACACGCACAGGCGGACAAAGATGAACAATAATAATGAGGAATTGCAATGATGTTGGATAAATGTCTCTACAATCTGTGGCTTTTCTGATTTACCACTCCATGGTAAACGGCAAGCCGGTGACACTAGAGAATTCCTCTGCCTTTTTTCCCCGCATCCCGTGTCTCTCCCCCATCCCCCTTACCTCAGCTGTATTACGGCATCGTACTTTCCCTGGTGTGCCACAACATCCTCAATGGCAAGCTTGTGGGCGTAAAGAAGCTCCACGTCTCCTTTCCCATCATCCCTCCCCCCGCACCCATCCCTTTCTCGCCCCCAGGTGTACAAGGGCGTGTTGAACGGCGAGCCGGTGGCGATAAAGAAGGCGACGGAGAAGCGGCGGCACGACGGGGTGGACTTTAAGAACGAGATCGAGATGCTCACGGCCGTGTCGCACGGCAACCTCGTCAAGCTCACCGGCTTCTGCGTGGAGAAAGACGAGCAGCTGCTCGTCTTCGAGTTCATGGAGGGGGGGGCGCTGGACGCGTGGATCAAAGGTGCGCTTTGTAATGAGTTGCTAGTAGTGAGATAGCCCATCCTTGGTTTGAGAAGGACGAGCGGCTCAGCAGGTGTTGGAGTTCATGGTGGGCGGCAGGCTGGACGCGTGGATCAAAGGTGTGTCTTGTGTCAGATCAGGTGTGGCGGTCTTTGCCGGTGTGCGTAAGTGAGATTCCAGGGTAGTCATTCATGGAGAAAGAGCTGCAGGATGACACTTCCAGTTTTCTACTAAGAGAAAACAGGCTCCCAGTGAAGTTCAGTCAAGAGTAATATGAGAGGAGGCGCTGATGAAGGGCTGCCGGGATTCGTGGGAAGGCCGAAACATGTTTGTCACCCCCCCTTGTTCATAACTTGAGTGAGTTCTACTGAGAGTCTGGTTTTTTTCTTGGTAGAAAATCAGTACCAGTTCTACAAGACTTGATCTTTCTGCTAACGGAAGTGTCATCTTGCAGCTCTTTTTCCATGAGTGACGAACCCTGGGGTGCCATTTACGTGCATCAGATGCGGTGGTGTTTGCTGGTGTTTGAATACATGGAGGAGGGCAGCTCCTTGGATGCGTGGATCATAAGTGCGACTTCAAATGTTTATGTGTTATCCCTCATTCTCATATTTTGGTTCTGTCCTTTTTTAGACGTCTGTTGGCTAGTAGCACCTCCTCACCTCACCCGTTGCTATGGGATTGGTTGGATGTGTTGGCAGGCAAGACGGGGCGCGTGCTGTCGTGGAAGGAGAGGATGCGGATCGCCCTTGATGCTGCAAGTGCACTGCATTACTTGCACAAGGAGATGAGGCCAGGCATCATCCACCGTGATATCAAGGTATGCCACCATCCACATGTAGCTATCAAGGACATGACGGGAGGCATCATTCGTTGTGATATCAAGGTGAGGCATCATTCACCGTGGCGATGTCCAGGTGCGACTTTTGGAAACTTCTGGGATGTCACAGCATTTCTCATACTCTAACCTCTTCTGTTCGGCCCTTCCGTTGTTCTTCCCTCTCTCCCCTTACGTATTTTTCTCAGCCTGCCAACATTCTCATAACGGCTTCGCTGGAAGCAAAGGTTGCTGACTTTGGCATTTCCAAGTCTCTGCCGGAGAGGGGCGAGCTGGTCCAGGATGAGATTATTGGGAGCAAGGTGAGTTGTTGTTGTTGTTGTTGTTTTTTTTTTTTTTTTTTTTTTTTCCCCTTGGTTATTTATGTGATGTGACAAGCGTTTCAGTGCGTGGCACAAGTTGAGTCACACAGTCAACTCATCAGCACTCTATCCATCTCCTTCGTCCATCCCCACAGCCCACCCCCCCGCCCCCCAGGGCTACATCGACCCGCACTTTGCACGGTCAACTCATTGATCGCTCCATCCCCTCCCCCCATCCTCCTCCCCCCCCACCCCCTTTTCGTTCCCCCCAGGGCTACATCGACCCGCACTTTGCACAGTCAACTCATAATCTCTCCTTCGCCCCCCCACCCTCTCTTCCACCGTGGTTCCTCCCCAGGGCTACATCGACCCGCACTTTGCGCAGTCGGAGGTGCTGACGGAGCGCAGTGACGTGTTCAGCTTTGGCGTGGTGCTGCTGCAGCTTGCCACGGGCCAGCCGCCCGTCATCCAGGGCGTGCCGCTCAGCCAGGTCGTGCTGCACCTCGCCTTCGGCGCGGGCGGCCTCTCCTCCACCATCGACCCCAAGCTCTCTCCCCTGCTGCCCGCAAGAGACAACCCGGCTCCTGCTGCTGCCGGCATTGGGGCTGGCGCGGGTGTGAGTGCGGGCGAGATGGTGGAGGGGTTGGAGGAGACCTTTGGCACGTTCCTGCGCGTGGCGCTGTGGTGCACGGCGGAGCACCCCTCGCTTCGGCCCGACATGGAGCAGGTGGTATCTGCGCTGCGCAGCATCAGGGACCAGCTCCGGGCGCTACCTGGTGCGGGTGGGGCTCAGGGATCTCTCGCCAGCCGTGCCAGCAGGGACACATCTGCTGCAGCAGTGGGGTCTGCAGGAGCCATTCCTAGTGCCTCCAATGGTTACACCGCTGGTTACCAGAGTCCAGGGTATCAGAGCAAGGCTGGTGGTGGTTCCGCTGCTGGCAACTACCCAGCAGCTGCAGGAGGAGCAGCACCAGGAGGAGGGTATACCTCTGGGGGTCGGTCGCCTGAGAGTGGCCTCACAGGGGCGCCTTCCAGCCTGACGTCTCTGTGGAATCCCATGGCAGCTTCCTCTAATCAACCGGGGTCAAACTGGTCCAACCTGACTGGGGATGAGACCGGCACGCAGAACCAGACTTTGACTGGGCCTCGTGCTCGGTGATTTCTGGACTTGACTGGGATAAGCCCCACTGGGGAGCGTGGATGGGTGTGGTGCAGGGCCATGAATTGGTTCTTGGCCACCCTTACGATGGGAAAGAGACAGAGAGTAGCGCGGAAAGAGAAAAAAAGTAGCGCGATGGGAGAGAGCAGCGCAGCGAGATGGGAGAGGGACAGAGTAGCGCGGCGGGAGAGAGAGAGAGAGTAGCGCGATGGGAGAGAGAGAGTAGCGAGATGGGAGAGAGACAGAGTAGCGCGGCAGGGGAGAGAGAAAAGCACGGCTGGATAGAGTGTGTAGCGCCACGGGAGATTGTAGTGCGGCGCGACGAGAAAGAGAGCGAGGCGGAGAGCGGATGAGATTTGCGCTGTGAAAGAGAAGGTGGCGCATGGCGACAGGCTGGCTCCTTTTGACTTGCACTCATTTCTCAAAACTAGAATTGAATGAATGATAGAGTTAGAGAGTACATGCACATATACCTAAATGTTGTACCCTCTAGGAGGTTACCCTATACAGTCTATACAAACATGATCAATAAACATGTTTGACACACCCCCTGGACTGCATAGGGGAATGTCCTAGACAAGCAGCTCAGGACGGCACTACTAGTCCAGCCTCTGAGACAAGGGTCTAAAAGACCAGTCAGAAGGAGTACAGACAAGACAAGAACAAGTACAGGGCGGCACTACTAGTCCAACCACTGTGAGAGGACACAAGTCCAGTCTGAGTGTACACATATATATAGGACAGTACAAAGTCAAGGCCCGAGTAAGTGAGGGACTACAGGAACCAGACCAAGCTGTACACAGTGCCGCTGATGATCTTTAGGCGCAAGCGCCTTCGTAAAGATATCAGCTGTGTTGGCACCGGAGGCCAAGTGTACTACGCGAGCCTGGCGACGCTGCTGTAGCTCGCGCAGGAGGAAGTACCGCAGCTGGATGTGCTTCGCTCTACCCTCGAGTCGAGGCTCCTGACACAGGAGGATCATGGCCCTGTTGTCAGCGTACAAGACCGGGGCAGAGCTAGGCCGCTCACCTAAGTCAGTGAGCAAGAAGGTCAGCCAGCGGAGCTCCTGTGCCGCCATGGCACCGGCGTAGATCTCAGCCTCACAGCTGGACTGGGCAACAGACGAGGAGCGGGTAGCTCTCCACGAGACAGCACCTGAGCCAAGGCTAAAGCAGTAGCCCTGGGAAGACCTGAGCGTCTCGGCGTCGTCTGCCCAAGAAGCGTCTGTGTGTCCAGTAAGGACCACTGGCCTGCGTCCGCCTAGCACTAACCCCATGCCCGATGTACTTGCAAGATAACGCAAAACCCTCTTAGCGGCAGACCAGTGCTGAGGTCGGTGTCTGCCTGTGGCCACGAAACGAGCCAGGATGCTGAGAGGGTATGCGAGATCTGGGCGAGTGCAAGTCATCAGGTACATGAGGCAACCCACTAGCTCAGCGTAAGGACCACTGGGATCTACCGACTCCTCAGGAACTGGAGCGGAGAGTCTGTGGTCCAGAGGAAGAGGGGTGGGCTGTGCGGAGGAGAACTGAAGGCCGAACCTCTGAAGGACCTGGCGCACCAAGTGTGACTGAGTCAGGGTGATGGTGCGCGCGGCTCTGTCCCTGGAGATCTGCAAGCCAAGGTAACGGCGCAGCTCTCCAAGGTCAGTGCAGGTGTGTCTCTTCAGCAGCTCTGCCTTCACGGAGGCCAGTGCGTCCCTGTCAGCTGTGGCAAAGACCAGGTCGTCTACGTAGACAAGGATGTAGAACGGAGTCTGGCCAGCACGAACGAAGAGCGAGGGGTATGCAGAGGACGGAAAGAACTGCAGGTCAGCAAGGGTAGCACGCAGCGTGTCGTGCCACTCACGAGGCGCCTGGCGCAGGCCGTAGACTGGGCGCTGCAGAAGCCACTGGGTCCCAGGGGGGAAAGTGCCAGTAAAGCCCTGAGGACGACGCAGGTAGACCTGCTCGTGAAGGCTGCCCTGAAGGAAGGCAGTGGAGAAGTCGAGGGAGTGAAGCTCGTAGTCACGCTGAGCCGCTACGTGTAACAGAACCCGAAGAGTAGTCATCTTCGGCGTAGGAGCGAAAGTCTGAAAGAAGTCCACCCCTCGCGCTGACTGAAGCCTCTAGCCACGTAGCGCGCCTTGAACACAGGCGGCTCTCCAGGAGGGCGCTTCACCTTGAAGAGCCAACGGCCATCGACCACGTTCACCCCAGGTGGGAGAACTGCGTCGACGAAGGTGCCGGTGGATCTCCAAGATGCCATCTCCTGTTCCATGGCAGCTATCCACTGAGAGGCCCAGGGTCCCGAAACCGCCTCAGCGTAAGTACAAGGGGTCGGGATGTCGAAAGCGTCTGGGTCACCCTCAGGGACTAGCAGCATGGAACAGAGATGGGGAGCAGCCTCGGACAGGAAAGCAAGCTCGTACTGGCGGTCCTCCAGGACGTCACTGCCGAGGGCAGGAGCACCCCCGACAGACGGAGGACAGGCAGGGTCAGAGACCAGAGCGGTAGCGTAGTCAAGGCGGCGGGTAGAGGCGAAGTCAGCGACCGCAGCGACAAGGGCGTCAAGACTCAACACTGGAGCAGACGGGTCTGTAACCAGAGAGGCAAGGACCCGAGGAACAAGAAGACGAGCGGCACGAAAGTAGTCAGACAGAGGAGGAGACGCAACGACAAGAGAAGACGGAGGAGGAGACGGGAGGAGGGGAGGACGAGACGCGTGGGACCGGAGCAACATAGGGTGAGAGCGCGGGACGGGGGAGACAGGACGAGCACGGGAGGGGCGGCGAGACCAGACGTGAGAGGGAGGCGTCGGGTCAGGAGACAGAGGAGGGGACACTGGTGGGGAACGAGGGGGAAAACGAGCCGGGGACGAGTCCGGCGGAGGGAACACGGGGCCGGAGACGGGAAGAGGAGGAGACGGCAGGAGAGGAACAGGCGCAGGGTCAGGGGACGGAAGGCCGAGCAGACGGAGGGCGGACACCGGCGGGGACTGCTGCTGCGGCAACACAACACCAACGCCAGGGCCACAAGCTGCGCGATGGCTACCTCCCGAACGCTCCACACCGGCACCCCAGAAGGGACACCCCAGAGCCCGGAACCCCGCCAGCACCGGTACCACCCCCAGAGTCCACAAACAGCGGCAGCGACGACGGCGGCGGCGGCGGCGGCGGCTGCAGCGACGGCCGCGACGGCGGTGGCGGCGGAGACGACGGCTGCAACGGCGGCGGCGGTGGAGACGACGGCTGCAGCAGCTGCGGCGACGGCGGCTGCGGGGCGTGGAGGAGGAGACACCGGGGGAGGGACAGTCGGCGAGGACTGCGCCGGAGGACTACCAGAGTCAGAAGACTCGTCGACCGGGACGACCGACGGGAGGGGGTGACGTGAGACACACCTGAGGGGGCCGGACGGGGGGCGGGGGGGGGGGGGGGCAGGGACCACCGGGGAAGGAGGACCAGGAACAGGGGGGGAGTAACCGGGGGACCACGGTGGGGGAAGCGGCGGTAGAAGGAGACGGACTCGTCAAAGGTGACGTCGCGAGAGTGAAAGAAGCGGTGAGACGGCGGGTGGTAGAAGTGCCAGTCGGACGCGTCAAGGGGGAAAACCGAGGAAGACGCAGGGGAGGTGCGGGCAGTGAGCTTGGTCCGTGCCAGAGGCACGGACGTGAGCAAGGCAGCCCCAGACGTGGAACGCAGACGCGTCACCAGGGGACCCGGTCCACAGAAAGGTCGGCGAAACCGGCGGCCGCTGGGGGTGCGGCCACAGGTTAAGCTGGTGAGCGGCGTAGCGCACGGCGAACGGCCACAGAAAATGGGGTGCACCGGCGTGGATCATGGAGGTGCGAGCCACCTCCATGACCAAACCGATGCGTCGCTCAGCGACCCCATTCTGCTGCGGGGAGTCCGGCAGGGTAAACGTCTGGGTGATGCCCTCCGCACGACAGAAGCGACCAAGGACACCTGAGGCAAACTCGCCACCCCGGTCGGAGTGGAGGCGCAAGGCAGGGAGACCGCGGTGGACACGAGCAGAGACAAGCCAGGGGATGAGAACGTCAGGCACGTCGGCTTCCGCTCCAGGGGAAAGACGGTGGTGGTAGCGCGTGAAGTCGTCGACAAGCACTAGGAAGAAGCGCTCGCGACGCGGCCCATGGACCGGGGCTGGGCCCCAGACTCCATGTGCAGAGTCTGCAGTGGTGCGGTGGTAGGGGGAAACGAGGAGGAGTGAGGGGCACGGCGGAGCCGGCCCTCGACACAAGGCGTGCACGGGGGGCGGGGGAGGAGGGAAACTCGGGGAACGAACCGGGGAGACCAAGGACGAGACCGTGCTGGGACATGTGACGCAGACGCGGGAGTGCAGGGTGACCAAGGCGGTGGTGCCAAAGGAGAGTCGGGTGAGTGAGGGACCGACAGGAGCACGCAGCAGCAACCTGGGTGGACGCAGCACCTGGGGGAAGACCAGCCGGGGACGTCCGGCGGTGTCAAGTGTGAACAGGCCGGACACCGGGTCCCGGGGAAAGTGGTAAGGGGGCACCAGTGGCGGCCTCGGTACAGACAGCATACCGCTCGTGACCAGGGAACGTAGTGGTGACGCCAAGGTCCTGGAGGCAGCCGACACCAACTAGGTTCTGGAGAACGAGGGGATATGCAGACCTGTGAGCGAACCTGAAGGAACCGCCGGACAGGGAAGGGAGGTGGAACTGCGGGCAACGACGGGGCCACCGGAGGGTCAGCAAGAGTAACTGCAGCGGGAACAGGCAGCGGCGTCAGCGTCGTGGAGTCGCGGAAGAAACACCGGGAGGCGCCAGAGTCCAAGGTGAAGGAAAGCGCAGCAGTCGCGCGAGGCGGCAGTGAAGCGGTGGAAGCACCGAGGCTAAGCAAAGCAGGAGATCCTACGCCTGACGCAGCAGGGGAGTCTACGCTAGGCACAGCTACACTAGGCAACACGGGGTAATAAGAGGGAAGCACACTAGAGTCATCAGCATACATCACATGCAAGGCTGCTACAATGGCATCCATGTCCAAGTCAAAATCCTAATGCTACGCCTAAGCAAGCTTGCCAGTCCGGGAGGTCGGGCGCCGGGCCAAAGCGCTGGCGGAACAGGTCGTCTAGACGACGAAAACAGCGAGGAGTGGAATGACCGATCTTACCGCAAACGAAACCGCGGCGAGGACCGGTCTGGATCTGGTACTGACAGGGCCCGCCTCCAGAACCACCCACCCGGTGCACCACCACGCGCAACGACCACCACAGCTCCAGGCCACCCAGGGGAGAGCACTCGCCTGCCTCGTCTGCGGCGGCTGCTGCGGCTGCTGCGGAGGCTGCGGCTGCGGCGACTGCTGCTGCTGCGCTGCAACTGTGGAGGCGCGGGGCAGCTGGACCGGGCAGGGTCCCCACGTCCGCACCGGCACCGGACGATCCGCCTCCACCACTACCCCCACCCGCACCCCGCCGCCCGCCGCTCCCAACCTTGGGCGCGGCCCTTCCCCGAGCGGACTGCACTGCAGCAGCAGTCTCAGCCACAGCGACAGAGCCGTCGGAGAAGGTACACTGAGCGGGGCACAAC